CGCACTACGGTGAACCCCGACTTCTCCGGGTGACACTAAACTCCACCAAGGACACAGAGGCAGTCCTACTATCGTCCAACAGGCTTCGTCATTCATCACTCGAGGCGCGCATACTTCCTGATATCCCCTGGGACGAACGTCCGAAAAAGATGAGCAACCGTGGGGAACTTCGTAAAGCCGAGGCGAAACGGACGATAATTGTGTACGGAGTTCCTGAGCTCCAAAACTCAACCTCTGAGGCAGCGGATGCACATGACGGGGAGCATTGGAGTTACATCCGTCACGAAATCTCCCTCAATAATATCATCGCTAAGCGGTTGACCAGGATTCCATTTTCACCTAACTACAAAGGGAACGGTCCCAGACTTATGAAGGTGGTGCTTCAATCTGAGTTTATGATACCGCTCGCCTTGGAAAACTGGTCCAAATTCCGCGTGAAGCTGCCAGCGGAAATTCGGTTAAAGGCATCAGGTACGCTGCCACGGATTACCAACGACTCACGGGGAGCGATCAAATTGTTGAACCATCCACTCATGCAACTTTGTGAAGGCATAGATTTATCGACAACCACAATCTCCCACGAAACACGGCTGAACACGGGGGACCAGCAGGGCCCGGAAGGCCGCGATCAGTCGTCTTACCGAAAGCAAACTCAAAGGCAAACGTTACCACAAAAAAACGGTTAATGGCCGACCCGTTAACGGTCGACACAAACTCCATTCCTACCACAACCTGTGCTAGCTCACACTTGGTTACAAAAGCACTATCCTGCATGTATACTAATGCCCAAGGCCTCATAAGTAAGTTGGTAGAACTGCGTCACCATTTGGCTTCAGAGCCTCGAGACATCATAATGATCGCCGAAACCTGGCTGAGCGGCGAAATCACAGACGTTGAGATTGGCATACCGGGTATGTCAATTCTCCGGAAAGACAGAACGGGCAAGGGCGGTGGCGTGCTCATTTATTTCCGAACGAACCTTCGTTGTGAGCTCATAGACGATCCCCAGACTTGTGTCACCGACGTCCTTTGGTGCAAACTGTGGTTGGAACGCAACGACGTATGCCTTCTCTCTGTGGTTTACCGACCACCGAAATCCACTCCGGAAAGGGACAACAGACTTATCTCCGCTTTTCGCTCCGTGCTTAATCAGAAGTACAGCCACATCCTCGTTGCAGGAGATTTCAACACCCATGACTTGGAAAATCCAGCATCCGAGACAGAAGTGTTCAAGGCATATTTGCAAGAGCTACTCTCTAGCACCTTCTTGTATAACCACGTCACCGTTCCAACCAGGTTCAGAACAGGAAACAACCCATTGATATTAGATCTAGTGCTCACTAACGAAGAGCTCATGGTCGATGGACTAAAGGTGTGCAGTCTTTTGGGCCGTAGCGATCACGTGACTTTGCAGTTCGATTACATCTGCTACGCCGAATATCCAGCTGCGGAGCTCGAAACGAGGCAATCTGTTACCCATTACCACGTTCTGTCTGCTCTAGTTGAGAATACCAGTTGGACGTTTCTAGCTAACTGCACCCCAGAACTAGCCTGGGAGACATTTGCGAACACCATCACGTCCCTAGTCATAGTGTAGCGACAGAACAAACGCGGCAATGAAGCACGATCTTTATTGGCGCGAACACACACTGTCTACCCACTCACGCGGGCACACATTAATGGGTCAGATTTCCTTCCCAAGTTGCACCATCCCTCTTGGCCTCCGCTCGTGACACTTCTATGCTCCTTCTGGGGTACGGGAACGCATCTTCTGTATCCGTTTCGCCCGTGTATCTTCGTTTCCACACCTCCGATTCTGGCAAGGCCGGAGTCGTTCGAAAGCGTGCGCTTTGCTTGATCGTGGGTGTATCACTCTCCCCGGGGTTGTTTCTTGAAGATGCGATACCGGCGGTTTTGTCCGATTTATTGCGTCTTCAACAAATTCCCCACCTGCTTTGTCTGCCTCGGGCTCACCCACGGATGCCGCTCCTGTCCCGTTTCCGTCTCGTGCTATTGGGCCTGGGTTTCTCCAGCGAATCGCCCCCATTGCATCGGTCTCTCTATTCGTCGGCCTCCGTTTTACTGGTCTAACCGTCCTTTGGGCAAACGCTGCCTTCCGCCTTCCTACAATAGAAGCCTCAACACCAAAATTTCCCAACATCCCCGTACAGCGAAATCATTCTTGCGAAGCAGGACGCGAAAATGCATGACTCTAAGGGATCGGGCATGGCGTACGTATAAAAGCAACCCCAGCGCAGAAAACTGGACAGAATACGTTTCGCATCGCAACTACTGTGTGCTTTTGGTTCGCGAAGACAAGAGAACGCATCAGCAGGAGCTAGCCAAACGATTCTGTTCGAACAAAAAGCTTCTTTACAAACATGTGAATGGACTTCGCAAAGTGCAACGGGGAATCCCACCACTTAATACGACCAGTGGGTATACACATACTGCGAAAGAGGCGGCCAACGCATTACGGGCCCAGTACTCCCCAATCTTCCAAGGTGTACAAGCCTCGACGTATATTCCGCCACTAGTTACCCCACCGTCCGTTTTATCCAACATCATGTTCACTGCAGAAATGGTGCTGCAAAAGCTGCTATCCTTGCGTCCACACAGCTCTCCCGGGGCCGATAACATTCACCCAAAAACATTACAGGTAGCTGCCATCCACTTGGCCGAACCACTAGCTGCATTTTTTCAGCGCTGTTTCGATGAGAACATCGTACCTTCGAGGTGGAAACAAGGTGTAATAACGCCCATATACAAAGCAGGAAGTCGATCGGATCCTGCCAATTACCGCCCCGTAACGCTTCTGCCTGTGATCGCCAAAGTCATGGAAGCGGTGATAGCAGATGCGTTAATGGGATACTTGGAAAACTACGGCATAATTGCGCCAGAACAGCATGGGTTTCGTCAACATCGTTCATGTACGACGAATCTGCTGATAGCTCGTGACAACTGGACCGAGACTGCCGATGAGAGAACAGGAGTTGATGTTGCATTCTTGGACTTTTCGAAAGCCTTCGATCGCCTGGATCATCGAATCCTGCTCATTAAACTCCAACAGTACGGTATCGGAGATCCGTTGTTAGGATGGATCGGTAACTTTCTCTCTGAACGGCAGTTAGAAGTTAGAGTTCGATCATCCTTTTCCGATCCGATTCGAGTGGGATGCGACGTACCGCAGGGTTCGGTACTTGGGCCTCGTTTGTTCCTGCTTTTCATTAACGATCTAGTAAGAGTTATTACGTCGAAATTCTTACTCTTCGCGGACGACCTCAAGGTTTGGCGGGCGATAAAACGATCGGACGACCATGAAGTCCTACAGCGTGACTTGAATGAGGCCTGGAATTGGTCGGTGAGAAACGCCCTGCCGTTTAATGTGAACAAATGTCGCGTTGTTCATATCCGCCATCGACAAGTCCACGTCTACAAGCTTGGGGCACACGATCTGAAGACCACCACTGAGGAACGCGACTTGGGTGTGCTGGTACAGGAAGACCTCGGGTGTTCCAAACAGTCAGATTCCGCTTCTAAAAAGGGCAACCAGCACGTTGGACTCCTGCGAAGAGCATTCGGAATTTTGGATCCATCCATCTTCTCTTTGATGCTGAATGCCTACGTGCGTCCTCACGTCGAATATGCAATCCAGGCCTGGCAACCCTGGCTAAAACGTGACCTTGCAGCGCTTGAGACCCCACAGCGTCGAGCAACGAAAATCGTCAAGGGCTTGCGCCACACTCCTTACCGGGAACGACTGGAGATACTCGGAGTGTTCAGCGGACGGTACCAACGACTTCGTGGAGACATCATACTAGTGTACCAGATATTGAGCGATCCCAGTCACGTATGCCGCCACCTCTTGAAGCTCAGCCCAAACACTAACCTTCGCGGTAACAGTTTAAAGCTGAGCCAACAGTACAGTCGTCTAGACTGTCGGAGAACCTATTTCTCCCTCCGGGTCTGCGGGCCCTGGAACGCCCTTCCAAACTCAGTTGTATGTGCCCCCACATTAGATACGTTTGAAAAACGATTGGACGTCGCACTGAGCCCCCTGCGCTTTGTTTTATGAACGAAAACGCTTGTATATATTTAGGCTGACCAGCCTCTTTGGATTTATACCCCAAATTCACGGTCGTAAATCTGTGCGAACCGGTGAGTACTCCATTTTGATTTGCTACCATCACCAACGATAACAATTTCTTAGCCAGTTTTGCGTCGTAACACTTTATCCCCCTAAAACTGTTATACTTCTACCTTTTATCTCACTGACGCTCCTTACTTCAACCACTTATGTGGTTTGCCAATCTGTTAGTATTTCTATTGCCAACCTGCGGGACTCGTTAAGTGTATGCTTTTTTACCCGTCATATACCATTGTTCCATTGTTCCACTGTTGTCATCTTCCTCGACATACAAAAAGCGTTTGACAGTCCCATATAAAAAGCTGCTAGATAAATTAAGTAAGTACGGTGTTACAAATCCGCTTAACTCTTGGATCAAATCGTACCTAGTAGGACGGTTGCAAGTTGTGGATATCAATGGTTACATCTCTTCACCTCGTCTGGTCACCAGTGGAGTGGCACAGGGCAGTGTCTTAGGTCCGTTACTCTTCCTACTGTATATAAATGACCTGGTTTCTGTTATACAATTTGAGAAGCCTTATTTGTTTGCTGATGATTTAAAGGTGGTTTACACGTTCCCAGGTTTTCAGCGTACCGCTGAACTTAACAATATCCAAAGCGACTTGAAAGCCATTGAGAGATGGGCTGAAATGTGGCAGATGACATTTGCAACATCGAAGTATAGTATTTTAGCGTATGGATGTCAGGGTATTAATTTCTACCTGTATTAGAACTGTTCAAGCTGCTGCGTTCATCAATAAAATATAGGTTTACCCAAAAACGTTTGCCTATAATGTTAATGAGTATCAGGGGGTGATTTATTTTTAAGCACATCCACAGATTTCGTGGTGAGAGCTTATCTATGAGAAATTACCTTCTAGTACAAAACTTCGTAAAGTGGCGTACCGTCCCAGCGTCTGTAGTACACGGGTCAAGTATTCGAGTCTTTGAGTAAACAAATTCATGTTACCGAATATTTGGACCTCTGAGAAGTTGAAGGCGTGTTTTGCCCCTGATTCGATCATCTCTTGTCGTGTTCGTCGGTACGCATCCTGGTACGCTAGGTTCAGTTCAATGCACTCGTTCATTTTCTTAATAATCACCTCACTGTCTTGCTCCCAAATAGATTTGGTGTGGTCCTGAGTGAGAAATCGCTTGCAGGTAGCGATAACTTGATTGGTAATCTGCAGAAAAGTAGGGATTTGTTGAAACGACGTGAAAAGTAGGCGAAACGTAACAGCATCATATAAAAAGATGGGTGGTATTACCGGTATTCCCTTATCTTGGAGATACCACAACGTTTCATTACACATCGAACGGTCAAGCACTTACATAAAGGAAGACAAACCCAATCTCTGAATCCGAGTCAGAAGAACATTGACGACTGTTTCGGATGAGTTGTTAGTGTTTTACCTAACGAATTCTTAGAGGTAGATCGTTGTGATGAAATTTTGGACTCACTGTTGCGCACTGCAGTCGGTTCACGTATCGAATGTTGAAGGTAGGAAAATAAGCTTCACTAATAGTTGTTGAAATGTATGCAGGGTTCTAAGACAAGGCTCACAGCAGTGAAGCGTATAGTACTGGTAGTGATGGCCTTGAAGGCAGCTGGTAGTGTTGTTTTTATTCATCTGTCATAGACCAGCTAGCTGATAGATTAAGCCATCAAGCAACCCCTAATACTTGGTGGAATGCGCACTCACGTCCAGCGTCACGATGATGGCTGGGACGTTTTTACCGAATCGAAACACATGACTGGTATAATTAAACACTCACTGGAACCAGTAATTCTGACGGCGCAGTAAAAGTATTTAGGCCGTCACAGGTGGTTGACTGACAACCAGTAAAGCCTAGAGCTGGCAACGCAATAGTCTATGAGCTTAAATGAATCAACGGAATCTCAATACGAAATTAAGTGGAAATTGGCGATAACTATGACAAATCATGTAGGATTGTTAAACACGACGCTCATGACGGATTCCACTGCCATAGCCGTTACTCTTGTATGGTAATGAACACGAACTATCAACGCCATGCGTGTCTACTTTCCGACAAAGATGAGTTGCTTGGACGGGACTGTAGGTAAGAGGTCGAATGCGGCAACGCACAGTATGCTGCCGAAAATTAGTTTTGTTATGATGGCGTACGTTGACCTAGTGCTGTGGCTTAGTAATCAAATCGTCAGTAGTCACGAACTACCTCTCGTGTTCCACTTATAACTCCGGCTGTCATCACGTGAGTTGTCCAGACAAAGAAAAATTGTCGTGGAGTGGATTTTTGAGAGCCATTGCAACCGAAACTGCAGCTTCCTCATAAAACTGAAGCAGGGGGTGAGAACACATACACATATGACAACTTCTTGACGTTAGATGTGATACAATTTGATCCACCGTAATTTCCATTCTATTCTAGTTCCGTGTGATGTTGCTTAGGGAAAGTAAGCAGGCTCATCGGGTTAGAAGCAAATTCCTAACAAATCACACCTGATGAACCCTGAGCCGCATGTCTTAGCTTTCGCACAAGATTTATAACCATTATAAAATGAACAGTGTGGACAACCTTGACTAAAGTTAGGATAGACGGTTGATTTTTAGTTGTCAGGTTTGCTTAGGGTTGGTCAAAGGCGCGATTTCAAAAGCGAACTCGTAGTCATCGTTTATGTGTAACTACAAACCGGTGTAACGATGGGAAGCCAGGCTAACGGACTCAAGCCTCCACACCAATAATCAGTGAGTACAATGTTTGTGGTTATTCACTACCTATGCTTGATTTTCCTTTCCAATTTGGAGCCTCCAAGAAGACCACCCGGAAGGACCTCTTAAACTTCGACCTTACCTTCAACGTACCGCTGATCACTAACATTTGCAGCCATGAAGTTGCGTACTGTTTACTAGTGTTAGAATGCAGAGAAGCGACGATTCCATCCGCGAATCTAATAACTGCAGATTCCGAAATTATCAAGAGTAATTTTGTATAGAATAAAGAAAACACAAATGACGAAATAACAGATGTAATATTCAAGATGCAACAAAGTCCAGCAGCCGACCGATGATAAATTTTTTCTCAGCGTTCATTAGTTATGATAACTCGTTGGGGAGTAATGTAGCATCAGTCACGGGTGTTCTGTGGATTCAAAACAAAACCGTTGGAAACTAACTAGAAAAACGTGGACAAGACTAGTGGTTCGACTTGAAGAGCAACATCCATGTCCCAAGCTGAGAGCGACAATGCATTACACTTGCTGACGGGCCCATAAAAAGAACACAACCATTTCAAGTACGGAACTTGCTATGCCAACCTTATGGGAACCATAATGTACTTGGTCCGTCACGGGACCGGGGGTTACCGGAAGTCCGGGAAAGGTAAACGAAAGTGCCATCCAAACACAAAACAAATTAGCCCTCGAAGTCAACCACAATTAGTCAAAGTCAGCATCGCAGTGTCGGATGTACTATATTATTCTGGTTACACACAGGCTTATTTTCACCAATCCACCTGCGCTTGTGGACCCTTTTTGTCGTTTCGAGTAACTTGCCCTCCACTGTAAAGTTTTATGCTGTGTGCGTGAATTTAAGTTTTAGCCGTAGTGTCTTCTCTCAGTTAGACAAAGAGTTAACGTCAAATAAACCCAACCCGCCAACCTTCGTGGGATTACATATCTCTAGCTTCGAAACACGTTATACTACACAGGAAGAATTTCCTCCTAGCTGTTCCCACAAACCCCACTATCGCAGCCGGCTGAACCAATGCCACAAGCGGTAAGATTTCATTCGTGAGAAGAGGTTTATTTGGCATCCGGACTATATCTACTACTCAATGGGTTGTAAGGACTAGGAATAGACAGATTTAGAATGCAACGACAAGAACGGCAATCGCAAAGCGTACGTTCTAGTTGGTGTAAACAATGGAACATGAGGTATTCTTTGATGGAAGTTACCTGGACCAACTGAGACGTCTTCATAAGACCATAGACTGGTGGGGAATACTTAACGCTATGTTTCTCAAAACGGTCTATCCTCTAATCATGGTTTTTCGTCGAATGAACACCAATGCGTAAGGTTATCCGGAAATCTTCATACATTTCGATGACCAAAAGCAAGTGAGGTAAAGGCTTGAGAATGATTACACCCATAGGAAAAGATGCAACTCAGTGAATGCAATATCAACTTCGTGTGTTGGTGGTACATAATTACAAAGTGAGGAACTCTGAGTTCGATACAGCACTTCCATTCCATGTGTGTTTAGTAGCTCTACTATTGACTAATTGCTATAATACTGAAGTCAGCAGCACACGTTGACATTTTATCCTGCCAAGCAATTTGAGATGCTTAAGAGGGCAGTTGATGTTCAGGTTAGCGAAACCAACGAATTAAGTGTTGTAGGTTTCGCCTCCGGGAAATCAGCTTATAATGTCCAAAATACCTTACGGACGCAGACGTAAGCTGCGTCTCACTCGCAAGAAGACCCTGCATACCACGTCGCGGTTGGACCCCATTTGAGCTCTTTAGATGTCGATAGCAGACCTCGAACCCGGGACCGTTGGAAGAGTAGCCGAAACCTCTACCCGCTTGGATATTGACGTGACGCATTCATTAATTAACTGATCCCAGTTACACAAAAGTCGTCTCATCGGTTGTAAAGTAGCCAAGCGAGATTAACAAAGGGAATAGTACCCACTAGTATACATATGTGTTAAGCCTTGTAGTGTATAACCCGGTCGAATTATTTAGTAACATCGCTGGATGCCTGACAAAGCCATGAATCCCATAACTATTACTATCACGTCGTTCACGTCTGCTCTTGCGAGCCTCACTAAGTACGCACCTCCACCACACGCCAATCCTAGGTTTATTAGTGATTCCTTTAAATCTACATCTGATGATAGTCTTATCCATGTCCCAACAGTCTGATCAGCAACCCGCCCCCTGCACCATTCTCGGTTTCGGCTGGAAGCCTTCAACGTTAGATCCGTTATGCAGATCGGACAACAAGCTGGCCTAGCTTACACCTTGGAGTCACTCACTATTGATATCGGTTGGCATTCTGAGACTCGGTTATAGGAATCCAGCATCGTAGTTAACTGGACCTCCTCTGCTGATCTCAAGAGCAAATAGAAGCTACATCTGCCGGTTGACACTGATGCTGCTACAGCTGGCTTGGCTGATGTTGGCATTACATTTATTGACAAAGCTGAGGCCTAGCTGCTCGATTGGTACTCGCTTGACGGCTGATTGTGTGCGGTTCGACTTCAAGGCACATGCAGCATCAGTAAGCATAGTACAGAGACACATAATTTGTTTGTGGTTTTAGCCGACACTTCAACCGACTGTAGTTGGGCATCAGTTAAGGATGACTGGTTTCGCGGATAACACTACATTTAGAGCAAATTCAAAAAACGCCCTGTCTTCGTCCTTGCCGGAGACTTAAATGCACGGGAATTAGCTGCGTTCCACTCGGTCGATCGGACTGCTGTATGAGGTTGGCTCCAAAAGAATAAGGTACCCGTAAAGCATACCACCATACAGCGAGCTTTGTACGACAATGTACCTGACAGTGTGAGGTCTTATGGTAAGGTCTCTTTACCTTTCGCTGTCAATGGCGATGTGCGACATGGCTGCCCCATGTACAGTTTCTATTCAATTTCGCGATTATAGATGTTCTCTTAAGCGCTTTGTAACATCTCCTCCGTCGTGCTTTCAACCGGCTACCATCGTTTGCTTCCTGGATATACGTGCAGCATTTTAGTCAGTTGACAGATCTCCTCTCTGGAGTAGTCAAAAGAGAAGGGGAGTGCCCTTGAAGTTTGTTAACGTACTTCAAGTCATTTATGCTCGAACCTCGGGCCGACTGCTGGTGTGCAGCGGAATTTCGCCCTCCCCTTACTATCACTAGTGGCTACGGACAGGGGTGTCCCTCATCACACTACTTGTTCAACTTCGTTATGGATAACATCTTTGAGAGCTATGGGAAACGTTAAGCCTTGTGATCTTGAGTTCCTTCCGGGTGATCGGATCCGTGAGTTAGGGTATGCTGACGACATCGCTGTAATCTAGGACCCGTCGCAGGCTGTTCAGGACGTGATATGCATGTTGGTGATATCTGTATCACAGTTCGGCATGACCTTTGCCTCCTCCATCTGCAACGTCTTCCTTCAGGACTGGTTAGAAACTGATTCTACCTCCACTCTCCCCGCGCTGTCTCATGGAAGCAGACGATAAGTTCGTTTACATTGGAGTTGTCTCAGTGTGAGCGGATTTATGGATGAGCTCAATTTGTGTATCACCGAAGCCAGAGTAGCCGTTGCTAACCACCGACATCTCAGGTGCCGGCATGATCTAATCCTTTCTCCAAAAGGTCAAGTTTACAACGTTACAGTACGAGCAATGCCCATGTATGGCTGCAAGACGCTGTCCGTTCGAAAGAGCAATGTCCAAATACTGTCTGTTTTGATTACCTCTGCCTTCGTAGCATCGCTGGTGTACGTTGGCAGCATCGCGTCAGCAATGACTGCTTTCGACGTTGGATCTTCGACTCAGACAGCCACCGCCGACCATTAAGCTGTATAATTTCCTTGCAAGCGCGCCGGTGGCTGGAGCACTTCTTCCGTATTCCCGCTCATCGGTTTCGCTGCTGCGCTTTGTTTGCATGCGCCGGCGTTGGTTGGAAGCGAAGGAGATATGGCCAGCAGGTGATCTGGGTCCGTGATTTCAAAGGGTTGAAACTTCATTTAACCACGTTGGGGCCTTCCAGACTCTCAGGTTGGGTGTCAAAGCACACTTGGTTGGATATGTTCTGGGACATGTTTTGGAGCCGCAACTAACGATGGAAGGGTCACGAGATTCTTTTCCCACGACTGCTTCTCCACTTCTTGTTGCTTTTTATCGTTTACTATGTGTTCCCATGTATTGTGTCATTCTGTCAACAGTTCATTGGCCGTGTTATATATATATATATATATATATATATATATATATATATATATATATATAAGCGTAACCCGAGTTGGAGAGAAGTGGTGTATTGATCGGTTTTTAAAACTCCCTCAGTGACATCGCAGAGTTGCCTCTATATCTACCTAGAATTGTCCAGGCATTTGCTTTTCTGAAAGAGACCTACTTACAGTGAACCGTGTGTGTTACACGAAGCACTATAAAAACATATTTGCAATAAAGTAAACAGAACAGTAGTGTACGTACCTTCACAAATAAAACTGTCATATTGGAGAATGTGTTGTAGAAGGTAGAATGCTGATAAATCAATCCCAACGATTTGAGTAAATTGGGCATTTTCTTGATAATCAGTTTCTACAAAAGAAAAAGTGGCGGAATCAATTGAAATTGATAACACATTTATGGACGCATGTAACAGACCGTTCACCAGCAGATTATGAAGAATTCATGTTCAGTGCTTTTCCAGGCGTGTGACGGCTGTCTGTGTGAGTTTAGATGTGACCAATTTCTACCTATACCATACAACGCCCCCTACAACTCGTCTATAATCAGTACGCAGACCAAACTGCTTATAATGCTATAATTTTGTTGATGGTTTAAGTTTGGTATGCTCGTCTCTTGGTGAGGGGCTACCCTGTTCACTGCGCGGCAGTAACGTGTAAGTCAGTGGATAGTGAGCGGCGCTATATCACATCTAGTAACTTATTTACCATGGTCGTTGTGGTCCCCCGTAGCTCATTAGTCTCAACCACCGACTAGCAACAGTCGAGTAGCGGGTTCGAGCCCCTACCAGGGTCCGATGGAATGCGCACTGCTGACGATTCCCGAAAGGATGAAACGAGCGTACTGTGCTTTTCCGGGCGTGTGATGGCTATTTGAGGAGTTTGATGTGACGGATTTCTACCTATACCATTCAACTCGCCTTACTACTCCCCTGTAAATGTCAGTTTGTTGTCTAAACATGCCCCTAGATGCGCGCAGTAGCCGCCGTGTGCTAGTTCAGAAGTTCGCTTTGTTTTTGAACACTACTACTAAGCGTACACTAAAATTCTTGAAATCTGTTGTTTTTTAACCTGCTGCAGCAATGCGTGACGAGTGTACCATTTTGGAATACGAAATCCTGAAGTCCTCTAAACTTCACCATTTTGTGTTTTTCCAAAAGGGTTGATACTGCCATTGAGGAATAGTAATATTGATATCCGTAGGCATACGGAACTTTAGTAGCCTATTGGCCGCATGATCGCAGTTGAGGATTTCGGGAATATACCCCAATACTGAAGTTAGTCTCTACATACAGTAGTCCACTAAGTTCAGGAAAACACAAGTTCACTGGAATGTAACGTCCAAGTTGCATACTTATTTGGCCTCAAACACTTTTTCCGAAGATAGTCCCATTACTACCGCAATACGACAAGGCACATGCCTACCAAACCGTGTTAAGCAACTACTGGTACTACCTACACTGTCCCAGCATCTAGCTTTAGGATTAGGGGAGCGGCCAAATTTGAGTTACGGCTACTCGACCGGTCAAGGATCACAGTTACTAGGGGTATAACTAGTAACAGGCACAGTCTTTTAAGCGGTCGTGTAAATACACTTGCTCTTTCACCAGTGGCGCCTGAGCAGTGAGCTTCAAGTGCAGCAAACGACCAATGTTATTCAGTATTACATGCTGATACACTGGTTAAGGAAGCGTATCCAGTTCTTAAACTGGGTAGTAAATTATTTTGCGATTGGTTGCTAAGCTGAGCGCAGGACGGAAGTCAGCAACGTGGTCCTAGAGATGTTGACTTACCCAAAGCACTGAAGGTGTGAAAATAATTTACTAGCCAATAAACAACCGTTTGATTTGTGGCTCACTCATAGTCAGCAGTTCGATGAATGATAAACCAGAGGGAAGTTATTTTTACCTCCCTTCATATTGTCCGCGATCAGTAGCATATCCGAGTGCATTGGAAGTACTCAGGAAATCATGAGGATATGATGGTGATAGACTCACCTTGCGTGCAATAGTAATAAGAACAAAAGATGAGGCTGTCCCGACATTTGAACCAAAATATCCGAGTTGAATTCGTAGTGTCACTAATTATTTCTGTTTTGAGTGAATGTGGTATAAAAATGAGAGATTGGACAAGTGCGACGCGTATCGTGCAACCGTAGAGCAACAGTGATCAGCGTCAACGAAGGTACTCCTAGGATACAAAGCCAAGGATGTAATAATGGGCAATGGTTTGCTAGTGGCATATTCTGTATTTGTGTTCGTTGCCTGACCTTTAACATCGCGCAACCTCACTAGGTTCGTGAGTCAATCAGTTCGCGTTATTAGCCCCGCCCATGCTTCCACTCATTCTAGGCTGTCGACTTCTTCAGCCCATTTTAACTAGTGAAGTGAGCATCAGGGCTTGCCGGCTGGTGTTATCCAGCACCCGTGTGCGGTCCGAAATGCCAGCGGCCACTGGGATGCCTAATCCATTGGCGACTACCAGACAGTTTGACACAAAGCAAATAGAAATCGTGCTCGTCGTTAATTTGGTATAACAAACTCTGGACCCATGTCGCATGACGTTACCAATATATGGCGTACTTAGAAGGTCTACTTGCTTACATCGTTGCTGAGTGACAGCGACCAACATAGATGCACCGTTTCCCAACTTTCTGACTTCGGACTATCTGTGCGAAACACATCGCATGTGCTTCGGCCCAGACAACCTGAATTCTAACCACGTTCAATCACGATTGTGTCAATACAACTTAAAATTTGCTCACGTGTAAGCACACGCACGGAATTTTAATTCAGTATGGTGTAGGCCAGTACTGCATATGGTTGTCTATAAATTAAGTCAAAATAGCATTCAAGAACTTAACAGCAAATTATCTTAGTGATCCTGTACCATACATACATAAACTGATCGCTAATATTCCATTGTACAATCATGTCACAACTCCCACTAGATTCAGAACAGCAAACCAACCGTCCATATTACACTTTGTGCTCACGAGTGAAGAGCTCATGCTTGACAGGTTATTGACGGATAGTCCATTAGGTCTCAGTGACCATGTATTAATAACGTTCAACCATGTGTCATGCAGAGTATCGATCTGAACACTCGCAAGTAACTCGTGCAATCACAAGCTACCACGTATCGAAAGATCGCGCCGACTCAGCTGCTTGGGAATCCTCAAACAACAATCCATTTGACAAAATTTGGACAAAGTTCATTGACAGACTCAGCGACATCGTCAACAGAGCATCAGAGACCAAGTGTCTTCGTTTCGCAAAAGTGCCTTCAGTTCTAAGGAGCAGGACTCGAAAATGCCTAGCGATAAGGGATGCAGTATGACGTGCCTACAAGATTAACCCCGACTCAGATGCTTGGGGCAATTTCCTGACCCATCGCAACCATTGCACTGCACTTGTCCGTGAAGACAAAGTAACTTAGCAACAGTGCCTAGTCAAGAAATTCATGGCAAACAACAAACTGCTATATAGGCATGTCAATAATCTTCGCAAAGGGAAGCATGGAATCTCTCCACATTTCATGACACGCGGTAGAGTACAAAGCGCCGAAGAAGCAGCTAACGCCCTGCGGCAACAATACGCTTCAATTTTTGAACTCGGAGTCTCTACCTGTCCTATAATGTCATGCACATTACCGACTCCACTGTTTAAATATGTAATTTTCAACCCACCAGTTATGCTAGGGAAGTTACTCTCACTGCGCGATCGTAGTTCTCCGGAAGTAGATAAAACCCGCCAGAAGGCACTAAAGCTGGTGGCCAATAAGCTCGCTGAACCACTGTCACATTTTTCCAAAGCTGCTTTGATGAACAACAAGTCTTCACTATGTGGAAGCGCGACCTTATCATCCCCAGTTTTTAAAGGCGATAGCCGTTCAGAGCCTGCAAACTATGGCCCAGTGACTCTCATCCCTATGCTCGCGAAGGTGATGGAAGCGGTCGTCGCTGAGGCTTTAACGGACTACCTGGAAAATGGAACATCTTGGCGCCAGAGCAACATGGCTTCCGTCAACATCGGTCATGCTCCACCAACCTACTTGTTGCGCGGGACAGTTGGACGGAAGTGGCTGATGATGGGGTCGGAGTTGACCTCATCTATCTGGACTTCCCCAAAGCTTTCGACCGCCTTGATCACCGCATCCTACTTCACCGGCTACAGAGCTAGGGAATCGGAGATCTTGTACTTGGCTGGATTAACAACTTCCTTCACCAAAGGAAGCTTCAAGTGCGCGTTAGGGGATCACTCTCTAACCCGATTGAGGTGGAATGTGATGTCACACAATGCTCAGTACTGGGTCCGCGCTTATTCCTGGTGTTTATCAACGACCTGGCGAAAGTTATCTCTCACATTTCCTGCTTTTTGCCAATGACGTCAAGATTTGGCTGGTGATTAGTGACAAGCCAGATCACGATCTGCTCCAGCATGATCTAGATTGCATTTACGAATGGTCAAAGAGGAACATGCTTCAACCGAACATAGCTAAGTGCAAGGTGATTCATCTGGGTCACCAGCCGGTGAACGCTTACAACCTTGGAGACTACACCACCACTTTACTTTTGTGTATTAATCTTCGTTCCGGTCATCCAACGTGATTCTTCAAGCTATCGCATTTTTGCCCGCTAAAATCATTATTCACTGTTAAATGGGGAGTTTTGCACAATTCAGTTGCAAACCGTATCTGACCTGAAGCGATGTAAAAAAGTTCGTGTGAACTATCCCATTCGATGACTTGCAATGTAGTCAATGAGAAATGCTGCACGGTGTGGCCAAGTGGAATCGAAATAAGAATAACCGACGTAATGTGAATAAATATTAATTTGCCATCTGAACTGAATAGGATTTTTGTCTAGTGGTGATAAAATAGATTGGCTTCCTTAGTGTCTACATTCCCTTCTTCGGAGCTTTGATGGTGGCCGATGATACTCTTCCCCCAAAACAGTCATTGGATTCAGTAGATAACGGGCTATATGCTTGCATCCCGACTGGCGAAGCATACAAACGTGACGCATCGTCTGTGATGGTGAGAGAGCTCCAGCCTTGTTCAATGGTTGGCCGGCACCCGTCTCAATCCAAGTGGCCCTGGTTAAAGTGGTGCAAACCCACCAGAAGCCTCATATAGAAGATCGTGGACATGATCGCAGGTGCGGAATGCATTTAGGCAAACCGATCTATGCGAATTATTCCAACCTCTCCAGTGCTACGAACGACATACCTCAAGCGAATCCCAATGGGATTTGCTGCTGCAATACCTGACTGGGCCCTCACTACACTGCCTTGTGAGCTAAACTTTTAACTATTGGTTCTAGTTAAAGCCCCACTCATAAAACCCTGTGTA